GCAAATGTCTGGAACAAGTTTTAAAAGACTGGAATATAAGGTATTTACGGTGCCTAAAAAACAAAAATTGCGAGGGATAGAAAAACATTTTAAACTGCACCTAGTAACCTATTGAAGTATAAAAAAGTAAATAAATAAGCGCGCTTAAGCGGGACAAATAGTAATTACCCAAGAGTAAGTGCAATTTAGGTGGGGGTATCACCAAGATCACAGGTTCTCCTAATTTTTGAGGAATAGGTTCATGAATGCAATTAAAAAAATGCTTTGCTTTCTTCAGGCTGCTTCCACTTGCCGTCCATCTCAAATATTGGTTTCGGATGTTCTCGAACGTGCGCAAATCTCCCTCATTGTTTAGGTTTTGTGCATTGGATTGACACCATGTACAGGGAGCTGTGAGACATCAGGCCCATCAAAATATTTGCCAATTTTAAATCTGTTGAAATACTGTAACTTCCTAGTTCATCAATTTTTAGCAGTTTCCAAATATATAAAACATTAAAATAGTTTTCTTTGATGTTTTTAACAATGGCCAAAATAAAAAGTTTTTTTACTCCAGAGTCTTTAAGGTCCCCACGGTTAGTAGTTTCTTTTGTCTGAATATTCAGACATACTTTAAAAAAGCCACCTCCTCCATCGAGGCCAATTTTTAAGAGTTCAACATTTTTTTGTGTTAAGTTTCTTTTCTGAACAATAAAATCCAAAAACGTCAAAATGTCTTTACAAAAAATAATGTCTCTCTGAACAGATTCGTACTTGTTTTCTTGACCATTTTCTAATTCTGCCGTCATCTTGTCAAATAATGTATCTAATACATGCCTCTTTTCTTTTAATTTTGTCTTTACATAGCTCTCAGTTATTTTTTATTAGTTTTTGATTTTAATTTCTGTAAACAAGACGCTAATTTAATTGTATTGTTTGTACTTAGGTTTAAAGTTCTTTGCATTTTTGAGATATCTTCTATAGTTACAGCATTGTTTTGAGCAGTTGGGACTTTTTTATTTGATGCAATAATGTTCAATTTTCCCTTATTTCCAGTTTCCAATTGAACACATAAGTTGGGAACACTATTTTCAACTTTTTCCTTAATGATAGTTGAAACAAATTTTTCTTTAAATTTTGGAGAATTTGATAAACTAGCAAGTTGTGCAAAATTTTGTGTTCGTAAGCTCTTGCGGCAATCATGAGATTTTCCTTTTTTTACAGTAACAAAGCAATTTTTACAGATTTGAATATTTGTATTTTTTTTCCTGTAAGACAGTTTGTATATTGAAGGCCGCCCAACTCGTTTTTTAAGTGAATATCTGGCTGTGCTGTTTAAATTTGTTTTTGCAATGGAGCACAGGGTACAAAAACAATTAATTATTAGGTTTGAACGAGTACGGGGATAGGTCAAATCAAAAAGCTTTACTTTTCTCTTAAAATTACCTTTGGCGTATTCTTCAACGGTGAGACGACATGTAGAACACAAGCTAATAGGGTAATCCACTTCGTTTACTGAGTACTGTTTTATAAAATGTATCTTTATTGTTTCTTCTTGCTTCAATGACATTTTTCGCATTTCTTTTGTACGATTAAAACATAACGCACATATTGCAGCCCTGTTTTCGTTGTGGGATCGCATTTTAAAAAAATATTTGCAAAACTTGTTTTGGACAATAATGACAAACAATGACAGATCATGACACAATTGTTTACATAGCAACTATGTAGGTATATACTGGTTAAACCAATACCTAGGACCAATAGATTCAGAGAAATTCTAATGTTACGTATCAAAAATACATTTTTAATTTTATTTTTAATTATCATAAAAATGTCTAAAAAATTGTTTAAAACAAAAAATAAGTTTGGACAATTTTTTCGGCAATTTTCATTTTTTGGCGAACCGTGAATGCCTTTGGCTCATAAAATTTTGATGAAGTTTCTTCAATTTTCGTAAAATTTCAGTAAAATATATAAAATTAATATATATAAATATAAAACAATGAAAGTGGCACAATCTCGTTAGCTTACCAAAAAGTGCTATATATCTCTTAGTTTTAGTAATTTTAAAATTATTTTAAAAGGAAATCTCAAGAAATTTGTGGTAAACATAGGTATTTACTATTTATATTATTGGTGGTCAGGGGCCCACCCAGGAGGTAAGAGAGGCAATTTGCCATGGTCCCCGAGTGGGCTTACTTCAATATTAATATATTACACTTAAAGTGATTGAAATTCGTTGAAAGTTTTAATAAATTTCATAAATTTCATGAAATTTTAGAAATTTGGGAAATTTTAGTAAGTTTCATAAATGTCATGAAAATTTCAAGTACAAGCAAAAAGTGAAATTTTCCCAACCTTTGTCAAAGATCCATTATTATCCCGTTCTGCTCAAAATAGCGTATTAAGGATGATACCAACTCTTGACTCCGACTATTTAAATGCTTCGGCATTTTAAATATAGGAAAAACACAAAAACGATATATAACAAATACAATGAAAACTTAAATAATATAAAATAACACAAACAACAAACAAAATAAACGAAATTATACACGAATTAAACGAAATATTATTCAAAAACACAACTGACAGCTTCGAAATTCTAAAACGTCAATTTCTTTTTCTATGCGTCACTTTCTTAAGCAAAATTTTAATCTAAACATGACAACATTGCAATTGCTGCCAACTAAAGTTGTTTAAAATGTATTCAATATTTTTATACATTATGTTATTAATATAATGAAGGTGGCATTCCAAGAGCAATCAAGAACTATAAAAAAGTCTAAAAAAATAAAAAACATGAGAAATCATTTAAAATTTCTAGTTGAATTCCACGACAACTATAGGCTACCTGAAGTCGCAACTTACATTAAAACATTTAGAACCAAATATAGAAACGAAATAAGGAATGCAAAAATTCAAGCAAACTCTACATATATTATGAAGGCAGATAATAAAATCAAGGCATCCTGGGAGGTATTAAACTCTGTAAGAAGAAAAACTGTGGCTGGAGATTTTGAAACAAACTTAAAAGCAGATGATATTAACGACTTTTTTCTAAGTATTGGGGAAGGCGTTGTTGGCATGCAAAATCAGGGTATTATTGATGCTGGAGTATATCTTCAAAACTTTAACAGAGGGGTTTCTGCAGAGGATGGTTTTTGCTTCAGAGAGGTCACCCTTATTGAGGTAAGAAATGCAATTGAGAATTTAAAAAACAAAAACAGTAAGGATTTTTATGAAATAAACTTACTTCTTATCAAGAGAGTCAAAAATTGTCTAATATCAGTACTAACTAAACTGTTTAATGAATGTCTGTCTCAAGGTATATTTCCCGATTGTTTGAAAATCTCCAAAGTTTTACCGATCTTTAAAAAAGGAGATAAGGATGACCCAAGTAATTATAGACCGATATCATTGATACCGGTATTCTCCAAAATTTTTGAGTATCTGTTAAAAAATCAAATCCAAAACTATTTTGATTCCAAAAACTTATTGATTGATAATCAATATGGATTTAGGAAAGACAAATCTACAACAGCAGCTTGTCTACAAATGATTGACAACATAATCGAGGGTCTTGAGGAGCAGCATTTTGTGGGAACACTCTTTTGCGATCTCTCCAAGGCCTTTGATTGTGTTTCACATGACATTCTACTGAAAAAACTAAATTATTATGGTTTCAGTGATGTTGGTCTACTTTTTATGGAAAGTTATCTAAAGGGTAGACGACAGATGACTTTTTATGGGGGTGAGGTGTCTGAGGTGAAGGCCATTGAATGTGGGGTTCCTCAGGGATCACTACTAGGTCCATTGCTATTTATAATTTACATAAATGATATACCAACAATCACACCAAATGCTCTGATTTTGTATGCAGATGATACCACCATAACAACTTCTTCAAGCTGACGTAAGATCTAGTCTAAATATCAATATGCAAAATGCCAAAAGTTGGTTCACTGCCAACTGCTTAAATCTGAACGTCCAAAAAACCGAACAAGTTATTTTCTCGCTTAGAAGTCATCAGGATCTGGCTCTGTGTGAAGTTAAATTTCTAGGAATTAAACTTGATACAGAGTTAAGATTTGAAGCCCATGTCAATTTTATTTCCCCTAAAATATGCAAAAACATTTTCCTTTTAAAAATATTATACAATAATGTAAATACAAAACTGTGTAAAACAGCATATTATTCCCTAATACACTCAGTATGCACTTATTCAATATTAAGTTGGGGGCATAGTACTCATACAAATAGGGTATTTGGACTTCAGAGGAGAGCAGTTAGAATTTTGGCCAATGTTTCTTACAGAACCGATGCCAAACAGGCATTTATAGACAATAATATACTTACTCTGCCATGTTGCTATATATTGGAATGCCTTATATTTGTAAGAGTAAATCAGTATACATATAATACAAGAAGCCAACTTCACAGCTATAACACAAGACATAATAATGATCTAAACATTGAATTTTTGCGTTTGAAAAGATCGTGGAATGCCACTCGTTACTATGTACCTACTTTTTACAATAAGTTACCTGACAGAATAAAAACTCTGAGTTTAAAATCTTTTAAACAAACTATTAAAACCTACCTGCTTAAAAATGCCTTTTATAGTATACAGGAGTTTTTAAACAGTGATTTGCGTAATGCGTTTATTTAATTATTCCTTTTTTGATTGTATCGTTTTGTAACATTACGGAATACAATTTTTAATGTGTAATATTTGTACTAACATATCTTGAATTTTATTGTTATTTTAATGTTTTATTTAAATCTATTTTGTATTTTTCTGACATGTGCAAAAGTTTGTAAAAATTTAATGCATGAATAAACTATCTATCTATCAAATATTCAATTACAGACTTCGTTGAAAATACATTTAGTATTGGTACCAGTGCGCAAAACTATGACGTCATCGATGACGTGTACGTCGTTTCCTTTTAAATTTACTATATCTAATCAATTACAATTTGATGATAAAACAATAAATTTAAAAACTTTCACGATCACTTACCGACGACACTTAATCCCATCGAGTGACCTATCGGCGGCGTAGTTCCGACTTGGCACTCATAGATGCCGCTGTCTCTGCGCTGCGGGTAGCGCACTTGCAGTGTCCAATCTTCGGTCATGGGGTTGTTGATGCTCGTAAACCGTTGATCGGACGTGTATGTAGAACGCCCGACCGTGAGCAAGTGCAAATCCCTGTGTCTTATCCATGTCACCTGCAACAAAACAACGTTCACGTTTATTTTCATGGAGACACTTGTTGTGTCGTGCTGGTTTCGATAAATGAGGCCACTTTATTTCTACAACTTTATCATGAGCTTTTATTTTTACACAGTAATGTATTTGAGAGTATAAAATAAGCGGAAAATATTTACACACAAATTTAACCAACATTGTATTACTCAATCCCTTAAAGTTGCCATGGATGGATTAGTACAACAATTAGACAACTTTATTTAATTTAATAGGTACAAGATTATGAATTAAATATTAAGTTTGTTAGTTAAATAAATAATAGTTAAATGATTATATAAAATAAACAATTTTGAGCACCTTTAAAACTTTTGATGCGGTAGTAGTAGATTTGATAGTAACCGATATTATGTAATTCGATGGTTCAATTTTCTTCTCCACCATTAACATTCTGCACACTGTTTTCTTCTTTAATATTAATTTTTTATACACTGTTATAAAATCAGATTTCTTAACATGAGTTTGTAACTACCTAGGTAGTTTGTTAATTTTATTTTTTAAAATTTTAACAAAATTTTTTGTTGAAAACTAGGGTTTGTAATTAAAGGAAAATATTTTACCGAAAGTTTTGTAAAGGTAATACATAGCAATTTTGTAATATTTTTGTTAATTTCAAAGGTTACATATTATTTTGTTAATGTATAATAAATTATTTCGTTAAAAAAGTACACGTGATTTTAGGCAATCAAAACATTTCCCACTGACAATACGCATCAACAAGTTCAACTGACTTCAGCGTCTGCAACTTATGTTTCTGCTTACTTTATTCTATTTTTATTTTTTATTTTATTTTATTTTATTATTTTTAATGTGTTTTCAACAGGCACCAGGCCCAATTACAGAAATACACAATGACAAACACAAATAAACAACCATACCCCTGGTGGGATTCGAACCCACGACCTCTCGGCTTGTAGTCCGCAGTGCTAACTACTACACCACCGAGGGCGTATCGTGTTCGTAACAACTGTCCAGAGGTTTATAATATATTACCAGAAATATGTTATTATTGTTATTTGGATTCCTTAATAATAATAATAATAATAATAATAATAATAATAAATTATTAATAATAATAATAATAATAATAATAAATTATTAATAATAATAATAATAATAATAATAATAATATTAAATTTATAGTCATCAAAAGGTATTACATGTCATGTTAAAAAATCACAATTAAACAGGTATATGGCACGCCGTTTCAACATTTATTAAATATTTTTTTAATTTAAAATTTTATTGGTTTAAAATTTTAACTAAAACTAAAAATTTTAGGTTTACATTTATAAATCTATAATATTTTTAATTATCATGTATTAAAAGACAAAATTTACTAACCAACACTTCACTTCTGACAGTGTATTAAACAATATTATTTTATATTAATTTTTGCAAAAATTTCTAACTATCATTTCTTAATAAAAAAAAATTTACTCAACTTCTTGAGGTGGCCCACTGATTTTTTAAATTAAATTTAAGTTAAAATTCTTTTGAATAAAAAAAAATTTTTGGCTTGTAATCTTCAAATTTATCTAAAAATAAACAAATTTGATCGTGTTCAACTCGAAATTCGCTCTATTGCCTCAGAAAAGCATGTTACTATTTTGGAATTTTTTTAAAAATAACAATAATGACCACAACATTTTTTTTAAGTTCATAACTGTTAATTAGCAAGAAAGAGGACACTCCGCAGTTTCCGGAACACTTTTGAAATTTTTTTTTATTCAAAAGAATTTTAACTTAAATTTAATTTAAAAATCACCTCAAGACGTTGAGTAAAAAATTATCTTTTTTTATAGGCTACAAATTCCACCCCCAGGCTAAGAAAAAAAAAATTTTTTGCTCCACCCTAATAAACACTAAACATTGCATCTTCGTCTACAATGACAATTTTGTTAATTTCTTTTCATCGAATGAATGCTTTATATTCCTTTTTTAAATTTAACGAGATTTCACTGGAAGTAAATCTAACACAATTTCCTTTGCTTTTCAGGTATAATTTGTGAATTCTGTATATTATAACGTGCAAAAAAACGCGTCATAATTGATTTATTCTGCGTTTAATGCCGCAAATCCCATGGGGCAACTTAGTAAAAAAATATGTTTTTTTTTCAGAAAAACTGAAAAGTTTCATATAATGTGACCTAATATTTGTTTGTATTTTTTTCTGAAAAGTAACTTTAAAAGTAAAAAAATGGTGGGGTAAAAGATAGACGTTTATAAACTTTTCTAGACACTCATTTAATTAGGCACTCGCTCGCAAGCTTGCTTTTGCCTACATTAAATTCGTGTCTAAAATGGCTTTTATTAAACTTAATACATAATGTACTATTAAAAACAGAATACTTATTATGTGTTTATAATTTATCTGCACGGAACGATAGGCTATTAAAATGGATTTATCGTTTAAAATAAATGTATTGCCTTATCTCGTTTCGCACAGACACAGACTGACTAGGAATCTGATATTTCCGACGCCAAATCGCCCTCTCTTCGTAAAGTAAGCATCTGAGAATCTTGTTGACCTACTTATAGGATTCTGTCGGTTTTTTAATATCATAGATCTTCAGCAAAAAAATCCATCAAATTGTCTCTAGATTTATTTAAAAGATATTAATAAAATCTTACAGCTAAATTTATTTATTATTAAATAAGTTTTGTTTAAAATTACTTTTTACATTTTAAAGTATGTATATGGGGAGTTATTCATTTACCATACGTTGTCGCAACTTTGCTTTGGATTTGCATCTGGCGTTTGATAGTTGAGTTAAGAATAACTGTATAAAATCAAAGGATCCGTTAGGTAGTTGTTTTAGGAATGTTGGTAACCGTAGCTAATTTTCTTGTGCTTAAAGTAGGATCAGCAACAAATTGTCCTAAAACTTCTATCTATCTCATTAGCGTCATTTCTGACCGGCGCACGTTAGACTAGAATCGCCCTAAAACGGCCAAAAACACAATTAAGGTGTTTTTACAATTGATTATTTCCCTCATTATAATATGAACCAATCAAAAGCCTTGAATTTTCGAATACATTTCGTTTAAAGAACTTTTTAACAGCGATTAAATTTTAGCCTCCATATTGGATTTTTGTTTACGATTTTATGGTGTTATTTACAAGTTTTAAGAAACATTTTTTAAAAAACAATAAAAAATAAGTTATCTAGTTTACAAAATATCAATTATTACTTATTACATACCTTAAATTAATAGAATTTTCTTTAAAAAATATTTATAAATTTTGACACATACGTCAGATTTTATGAATTGTCAAATAGTTTCCTTTAATTCGAGAAATAATCTAGACGTATATCACTCAACCTATAAATTTAATCTGTCAAACTATGCTCCGTAAGTTCTTTATTTGATTTTTCTTTTTGGAAAATAGTTTCATGCAAAATAATTAAAAATAAAACCCCTCGACCGCTACGCGGTCTCGTGATTTTATTAAATTATTTTGCATTCAACATTTTCCAACAAAAACCAAACAAAAAACTACTGAGCCTAGTTTAACCGATTAAATTCATAGTTGGACGCCTTTCTGCAGAAAGGAACCAACCCACAAAACCAAAAAAATCGAGATATTTAGCCTATGAACTAATTAAGTATGTATAATTTATCTGCAAAATAGGTCATAGCCAAAATGCAAGTGTAGTGAAATCTATTAATCATTGAACCAACCAACATTCAATAATAGTGTGGATTACTAATCCAGAATTAGAATCTGTAGAATATCTGCAAGTGGGTTGGATCTTTTTTGTAAAAAAGCAGGCTGGTAGACCCACTACCAAAGTCTTTAAAGATTTCCTGCTTCTGCAAAATATAAAGTCTTGATGCATTTTTTTGGTGGCTTACAAGATGAGGTGGGGTTGGAAGATGATGTGGACAAATTTCAAATAGAATCAAAATTAATTCATATTACCATTATAATAGTAATATCAGTTGTATTTTGTTTGGAAATAAATAATTGTCGCTTTTCTACATACATACATCAGATAGTAGTTTTCATAAATTGCAGAAAGGAACCAACCAACAAAAGCCTATTTTTTTCGTCACCCTTACACATAACATCACAAAATCCACCTGATGAAATTATTAAATTATATCCCTTAAACCTCCGTAAGTCCAAAATCGGCATAAAATTAACAGGTAATTTTAAAATTATTAAAATCTTTGATAGCTTTTTTCTCAGTTTCATCATGGTGTGGGTTGGTCCCATTCTGCAGAAAGCCGTCCAGTTATCGTGATATAATATATGAGAAAATCTAAATTTTACCAGTAAAAAGATTTAGAACATTTAATTAAATCAGGCTATAATTTTAAAACTAATAGAGATTTTTTAATATTTATTTTTTTAAGTTAAAGGTAAGACGATTTTCCTTTTTAAATTTAATAGTTAAAAATAGAATATAAAAAACAAATTATTTATTAAAAATTATGTAAAGTGCTGATAAATTATAAATTTTTAACATTAAGTAGGAAAAGTATTTTTCTTTGCTCTAATTTTATACGTTTTTTGGGCCAAAATCTTGTGAACAAAACTATACGCACTTTTTTAAAACTAATAAAGTTTAAAAGGCTGTAACTGTAAAGCTAATACTGATTTTGTGATATATATTTTTTTTAAATAATAAATATTAATTTTATAGTTAAAACATAAAATATTAACAAACAAGTTACCCTATTTATTAACAAAAATATAAAAGTAAAAAATTGAATAAAGTTTTTTTCTTTGGAAATGTATTTATTTATTTTGTAGGCCAAAATATTGTAAACAAGACCATATGTATAAACTTTATATCTTTTCTTGTCCATCTGCGAAAGTTAATAGTTTTTTTCTACGACCATTATGTAAAAGTCACATTTCGTAATGGCATCGTTGCTGAATGAATCTTTTCATTGGCAAGGCAAAACTCGAATGTATTGTGACATTTCTGTGTGAAAAGTGACAGGTCTGTGTAAAGAGTGACAAGTCTGTGTGAAAAGAAAT